TAGTCTATCACTACTAAATTAGGGACGGCTAACGCAAACAGACAATTCTATGTGTATATGTTGTACAAACAGGCAAATCTATGTGAAAATTAAATACTTGCATATTTAATGGCCTACACTAAAGCTCACGATTTGAACAACAACAACCTTTCATTTTCAGAATGAATATTTTAAAGTAACTTAAATTAATGCGCTCCGAATGTAACCTAACAATTTCTTATTACTAAAAATAAGCTTCGGAATTATACGTCTTACCAATATTTGATTAAAGTAGGAATGACATATTAGTCGACCAGTTATATTTAAAGAAAGAAAATGTATAATTGCGTTAATTAGGGTTGTTTATTTCTTCATACCATATATACATAAAGGGCTAAACGGCCAAGTCAGTGACCCCTCAGGCATAAGTGTTCCTAATTATTAACTGCGAACCAAAGGGAAATCAATCAGTTGGTGACATCAGTAGTCTGAAGTGACTACGCTTAATCGTGAGCCAGGTATATCCTACTGGTTAGAATGCCGGGCTGAGAATTCAAGGTTTTGTGGTTCGTGTTCAGTTGCCGCAAATTCGCGCTCTGCATTTTGGGGCTATGTTCGATTAAAGTAGTCCAAGAGTTTTCATTGGGTGTTGATGAATAACTGTTTTCTCTTCATTTTATCAGTTTAAAGTTAGGGACAGCTAATAACCTTGTGTACTTTTGCGCGAGTACCTGAAAACCAACAAAATATTAAGTAAATAGCAGGACTGACTACCACTCTTATAACGCACCCAAAACTGAAAGTGCGAAGCGTGTTTTCAAGCACTACGTCTCGAACCCGAAACTCTCGGATTGTCAGTCCAACATGTTAAATACTAGATCACGCTATGGCACTTTAACTAGAGTGTTATGAAGTTAGGTGTAAGGATCATCGGTTGAAGCTAAGAAAGCGGCCAGTCTTTGGTTAGTCTCTAAGGAATTAGAGAATTCGAGTACATTAAATCATTAGAAAATGATTGGAGTGAGCAGTTATAACGGACATCTTTCTAAGATCAGCCGATCTGGAGTCTAGAAGACCTCCTATATTTATGAAACATTATAATCCGATATACAGGAAACAGGTGCAAAGGCAGAATGAAAGGAACCTGTTCGGCGTGGGTTTGAGAAATAAATATAAAAGATAGGAGTTCAGGAAAGAGAGAGAAGACCTGAAGATCTAAGAAATGCGAAGAAATATAGTAATATGCTGCCAGAAAAAAACAAAAAACAAACCTATTTCTAAATCTGTGTGTTATTGGTTACCAGTAGGAAAC